TCCATAGGAAAAAAAAAATTTTGATATGTTGTAGAACTGATTTTTCTAAGACAGAAAAAAAGTTGTTTGACGAAAAACTGGGGAACGGTGAATGAGATTTTTTAATATTTAAAAACTGGGGGAATAAGGTGTAAAAAATGGGCAGTTGCGCCCCTTTTTTCCTCAGTTTTTAAATATTTAAAAATCTGTATCTCGTTCACCGTTCCCAGTTTTTCGTCAAAAAAAGTTTTTTCTGTCTTAGAAAAATCAGTTCTACAACATATCAAAAAATGTTTTTCCTCCTGAGCCTGCCTTTAAAGTTGCTTGGTAACAAGGGGTGCCGCATAGCGTTAATACTTCAGAAACATATTACTCCATATTTTTTAATTTTGCTCAATCACTGATACACTTAAAAACATGTCAAAATTGCACCAAATCATGTTCTCAATCAACTTGTGTATCCTTAATTTTAAACATCTCATAATTGTATCTCACTATTTTAATATACTTTATAAGTTCTGATTTGAATGCCACAATATTACTGTACTTGGCATGTGTAAAATTTTTTGGTTGTTTCAACTACAATGCATTAAATGCATGCATGATCATTTCCAATATCTAAAAATCATAGTCTACAATTAAGTTTAATACTAATGCTTCTCCCAAAAACTGTTGGATTCTGTTGCAGTTTTTGTAAACCACTTTCTCTTTAGTGTCATTGTGAGAAGAAAATGAAAGGTCACCATGTTTACCGACTAATAACATTTAATCTGTACTTAATTTAATTTATACTGATGTTTTCTTGTAGTACTCTATAAGGGCTCTTTTACACTAGATAAATTTTATTCAGAAATCAGAAATTTTTTCCTATGTGAATGCGCAGTTTAATTTTCAAGAATCTCAATTGCGTATGGGTAAAAATTTTAGGTTCGCGCGAATAAATTTGCTTAGTGGAAACAGCCTTAATAGATTTCTTTTAAAAAAAATATTACAAATGTTTTCTTTATTTCTTAGGCGAAATCAGATCAACATTCGAAGAATTTGGGCAGATCAGCGATGTAACAGTTGTCATGGACCGAGAGACAGGCCGTAGTCGCGGCTTTGGATTTGTACAGTTTTATGATAAATCGGCCGCTATGGCAGCAATAAGTCGTAATGATATTGAACTTGGTAATAGGATGGTAAGTTCAATATGATGGGCTTGTTTAACTGGCAAACAAAAAAAATTCTAAACAATTGTTGCATAATATTTTTCTGAAGCTTTCCAAATAATTATTTGCTTTTATTACGTACCCTTAGGACCACATGATGTTAAATGAAAAATGTTTTGTATTGTGTACAGTAAAAACCGTGCAGCATGACTGTATATAATCTTTTAACTAGGCCCATGCCATACTCTAGTTTAGCAATAAAAGCATGTACAGTACAGCCCACAATTACTGCAACGTTCCCCACGCGTGGTAACTTCGTCGTGGTTGGTGGTAGTAGCCGTTTACATCTGAGCACATGTTCATAAACAAACCGCATTACTGCAGTGTATTGGTTAAGAAATTATTTGTCAAAATTAATACAAATCAAACACTGCTTTAAATACCTAGTTCTGATAAATCTAGATCATAAAATAATGACAACTTTTTTTTTACTTTCAGTTAAGAGTGCAAACTGCAACAAAACCAGGTCAAGGTAAGCTTGTGAACTTCCCACATTAATGAGGGATTTAAGTGAAATTAGCACGAGTTCTATCTTGTGTAATTGAGGCAGTAATGTACCACTTTATTACAAACCCTGATTTCATGATTTTATGAACGTAAAATAGAGACGATACCTAAACTTGTAAATTTGCGTATATAAAAATAATTTGTACTCTTTGTTATGAACACATTATATTTTATGAAAATTTGAGTTGCAGTAGAAACCCTTAATTACGAACCCTGATTTAACAAATTCCCGATTTTACGAATGTAAAATCAAGGTGATGACGTCATACAAAAATTCCCTATATTTTGAGCGTTTCTTGTAATATTTGTTAATGCCTATTCTAAAAAGTGTTACTTGCATACAGAGGAAGATTACCCATGCAATTTTAGGGTGCAAAACTGGCGCTCGCCAGTGAGAGTGAAATAAAAATTTGGTGAGTGATATTCCATCCCCACTCGCCCACATGGGCTAGTGGGAAAAAAATCCGCTCGAATTGTAACGGTTATTATCATGCATACAACATACCATACTATACTGTGTAATTCTCAAGTGAAGGAGGCCCTCTAATGGGCCTCTTCATATTTGGTGTTTATTATGGCTTCACACATGTATATGCGACAAATTTTACTTCTCTTTTAATCATTGTTTTCGGTTTTAAAAGTCAACATAGTGATTGATTGTTTTATTGAATGATCAATAAATATAATAAACAAGTATCTATGGAAGTTATGTTAGAGTAAAATCCACAATCTTGGTATTTAAGAAGGTAAAAACATCCGATTAAAAACAAATTTTTCTGGGGCCTTGAGTGGGATCAAAATGCTTAGAAACTGCCTACTGTAGGCCCAGGCCCCTCAGATTTAGCTACGTAGTCCTGTTGGCCTAGCCTAGGCCTAGTTTATGCCAGTGTAAGAAGTACAACACCGATCTTGCGAATACCCACAATTACGAACGGCTCTGGCCCCTTGCCGTACGTAATTGAGGGGTTCTACTGGGGCTGTTGAAAATAACTTCTGTGGTGTATCATTTCATTTATAAGTGACTTAATGAACATTTTTATTTTTTTAGGACGAAGAGGAGGTGGTGGTGGTGGTTATGGTGGTGGAAGAGGAGGAAGTAGAGGAGGGTACGACCAAGGCTATGGTGGAGGCGGTGGCTACGGTGGATCGCGTGACTATGGTGGTGGTAACAGATATGGCGGCGGCGGCAGAAGTTACGGGGGTGGGTATGGTGATAGATATGATGGTGGAGGACAGTGGTAAATTGATCATAATCTTTTCACCATTTATGTTAGCAGTTTCTCAAAAATGGTTTCTGAAAATTTTGGGGTTGGGCATTGGGAATGAAAACTGTACTTACAGTTAATGTTTTGTATTTTAATCAAAGTGTTGCCAACGTAAATAAAAATATTGCATTTATATTTGTAATACCGGCATACAGCTTGTGGTTTCTCCTAAAGATGTACCGTCTGTCATAAGCTAAAAATATTGGAAAATTAAATTCCATATTTGATTTGTTTAATTTTTATATTTATTAACATTCGATTAAAAATTTGACTGAGGAAAAATTACCCTGTCGGTTAACAGGCAGTTCAGATAATACCTTTAAATTCTATTTCATAGATGCTGAAATTTGCTGCTTGTCAATTCAAGGATTTTTGGAAATCATTAACTGTCAGTAAATTAGCAATTGGGAGTAAAATATTTTTTGATTTTTTAAAATGAGTTTTTACAGATCTTCATTTAAATTGGAGCGTTATTTTCCCAATTATTCTTTTGCTGACAGTACGTGTTTAATCTTTTTTTTTTTTTTTTATGTATGAAAGAAAACAATTTTGTAATTTACATCCGGTCTGCAGATTTGTTGTATCAAATGTATATCAGTAGATCCTAAGTAATCATTTAATTCGCAGAATTTACACAGGGTTATATTGAAAACAGTCAGTAAGGCATTTTAAGCCATTCTGTAAAACAGTGCGCTAAAAATATACTGTAATATATTTGCATAAGATTATCAAAGAAAGGATGATCATTGATTGATTGACAGTTTATGAATTGTACAATATGCATACTCTACTGTTTATTTTGATCTACTGTTTTTAGACATGTGTTTAAATAGCATAGTCTTCCGGACGATTATTTGCCAGTTGGTTTTTTTTTTTTTAGTTTCCTGCTAGTATTGTACAGTATACACTCGGCCTGCATTTTTCAAACTTAATGTATTATTATTCTGTGACAGTTTCCTGCGAATTAATTCTATGTTGCATGTGATGATAATGTTTTCAAATAAATTCTGTTAAATGTATTTCGGGCAATGAATATTTTATTAGTAGTGTTTACTATTGACTCATTAGATTGTAAAAAAATATATATATATATTTTTTTTTTTTGAACAGTCATACATTGCATGAGGTAGGAAAGCCACAATAATTTTAGTTTTAGGTGGGCAGTGTGTGACCTGTGGGCCACATGTCATCTGGCGGCAATTTTGTTGTGGCTGGCAAAAATATATTAAGGTCTGAATATTGTCGGCGCCTTAAAACCGATGTTATTGTGGAAAGTACTCTACAAATATCCTACCTACCATTACAAAAAACGACTTTTTAAAATTCTCAAACTAAATGGAGTGGGGAAGCACCGTGACCCCTAAGCCATTAATCTAGTACCACACCAAGTACCAGTCAGTCAACTCTTGGGAACATGATTCGAATATATACAGTTGCAGGTCAATTTTAGTACTCATGGTCATGGTGTGAAAAGTAAAGAAAAACTTGAATAATAAAAGTTATTATTATTAATAAATGTTTTATGTTCTTATTAAATATTCAAAATAATTAGTACTGTATAGATGAATTTATTTTTTAAAATCATGTTTAAAAATAGATTATAAAAATATTCAAATTAGATATACTAATTACTAGCCAATAGAAAAATTTATTTTTAAAAAAATGGTTCGTGAGGGAAACGAACACACAACCTCCAGATTATTTAGCCAAATTAATTATTAATATTGTTATGAATAGAACAATTTTTAAAAATGGTTCGTGTGGGAATCTAACACGCGACCTCCAGATTATCTATCCAGATGGAAATTACTACAAATGCTATTAAGATGCGAGTTTGCCTCGGGAAATATCAAAGGAGTGATTATTTACCCTTCCTGATAGGTTAACGTACCGAATTACCTAGTACGTCTCTATATAGTAGCCAATAACCATCATTCCTGATGATGACATAATTAATGTCAAAATATTAAATCCCGACACGACGGCGTGCATTCCGATACTTGGAGTATGTATTATACTATCTTATCGGGGGAAATGTATTTAAAATTAGAAGAAATTGGTTGTATTAAAACTATAGAAACGGTGATGCAGTAACTTGAGTCATGAGAGAGTACAGTATTTCCTTGAAGGCCCTACTTATTTCACTAACGAGTTACTAAAAATTGATCAGTAATGAAATGTTTGTGTAGGTCTACATAGTTCGGGTGCTCAAATTAAACATAGACCTACATTGAAACTCAAATTGGCTTTATTAATAATATTTTTGCTTATGTACTGTATTATCAACAAACACTCACTGAAATCATTTTAAAACAGCTTTAAAGTGCTCAGATCGTCGAGGTGGGGGAGGGTGGCGCGGTTCCCCTGGCGCTTGGACCCCCAGCCAACTAGTATTAGTCAAACACGCATTTCAAATTTCTCAGGTTGGTAACTATGGAAAATGTATAAAAAAACGTGTATAAAAAATTATGATGAACGATTTTTAAGAAGACACCAAAATAGGAGTGATGTTTTACCCGACGTAATTTTACTGAATGCTCAGTACGTTCCCTGGTACTTGGGATTAAAATTCGCAAGTTACTCCAGATAACTAGCCTGGTGTCAGTGACGTATTGGGGGAGGGGGAAGGGGTGTGCGCACGCCCCTTCAAAAATCTCACCCTCCAGTCGCCTTCCCCAAAAAAAATCATCAATTAGTTAAAAATCACCTTATTTTGCGAATTAAAACTGATCCTTGAGGTCCCCCATTTCACCTTCGCGCACGCCCCCCCCATCAGAACCCCCATTTCAAGACTTCTAAATACGCTACTACCTGGTGTCGTAGCCACTAGACCACCGAGCTTACGATTTCACGCCCCTCCTACTACTACCCAGCCCTCTACTACAACTCCTTGACAATACGAAAACTATTTCTAATTAAAAAAGAAAACCAAATAAACCAAACCCCTGAATAACTCTTTAACAGATTTATTAGAAAGGGCCCCCCTACTACAACCCAGCATCATTATGGAGCTTTGACCAGGGGAAGTGCAAGTCCAAATGAGCTCTGATAGGCCACAGGGGTTCCTCTTACTACACCCAACACTTTAATACTGTACAACGCTTTTGACAATACTGTAGGACTATATTTTCTATTAATAATTTTAAAAAATGCATGGTGCCCTGGCCTGCTGCATCGCCACTCACCTGGAAACCGCGTTACGCCCTAAAATATGGCAATTAATAAAGATATAAATACATGATTACCCATCATAGTAGACCTATTACTGTACATGTTGAAATTGATTGAAACAATTGTATATAAAAATAGTAATATGGTAGGCCCTACTACTGCATAGCGCCCAATCCGCCCCAAAGATAGAGTACGCTCGCGTCGCCTAATTTACTAAAAGATTTTTTTTTTTAAACTGCTTTGAAAGCAATTTCAAAAATTAAAAAAAAGAGTTCACGAACAATTTCCATAGTTGAAACTGGAAATAATATTAAATTTAAGTTCAATAATGCCATTTCCGGCCACCAAGAAGTGCCATAATCATGGTGGGTCTGAGGTGGTCTGACACGCCTGGTCCCGACGGGGGAAGGGGTGAACTCAATGATTATAATTATAAAAGCTAAGTCTAGTGATTAGTGAATGACTATAATTTTATTTATAAGTTCAACTTGTGCATTTTAATTTTGTTGTTTTCAATGTTCGACGTCAATATTGATAGCAATTTATTTGACGTCCTTTTTTTTATCTAAATGTTTAAATTATTTTAATAATTTTTATGTGAATGATTTATTTATTTTTTTTTTTGGTATTTTATTAAAATTTGAAAAGTTCTAGGCATATCACTGCTGAGTATTTTCAAAGTGGGAATTCCATCTTCTGAATCGGAAGTTATAGGAGAACATCATCCGAGTGTTTTGTTTTATTTTGTAATACCAAATTAGGGTCCAGGAAAAGGCCTCATGTAATCCCGTTTTTTTTTTTCCTTATATGGGATTATGACAAGCACCCTCACACAGATGTGCTTCTAGCTGCCTAGGCCCTAGTCCTAGGCTTATTTTAAGTAAAACTAGACTTACCTTGGCTTAATTTGGAAATGCAGCCCTTATTTTAGGGCCCTAGCTAGTAAGGTATAGGCCTAGCCTAGTACTAAGTACAGTAGGTAATGGTTGCTTGATGCTTGATAAAGTAGTGTAATTTATTTATGATTTATGGTTGGAATCCCAGAGTTGCATATATTTGAATGCATCAGTATTCACACAGGAACGATACACCGATTTTTCGTTAATTCAGTTTTGGTTTCAACTAGGCGACGCCAGGCTGTTTACATCAATAATGCATACCACCGGTTCTAGGTTCTGCAAATGTCAATTCATCTCAATTTATAGCCGGTCGATTGTACAACGCACGTAGCTTTGTGAACAAGTTGCCCGATTTCCATACAATTTTAATTACAGAAAAACCAGATATTATAGCAGTCTCTGAAACATGGCTCGATTCTTCAGTTTTTTCTAGCGAGCTTGTTCTGGACCCTGATTCGTATTCCATTTTCCGGAAGGACAGAAAACGCAATGGAGGTGGTGTGCTACTGGAAATAAATGCAGCGTTACATCTAGTCTCATGTAATCATTTTGAAGATGTATTCCATTTTCCGGAAGGACAGAAACCGCAATGAAGGTGGTGTGCTACTGGCAATAAATGCAGCGTTACATCCAGTCTCATGTAATCATTTTGAAGATGACAATCTTAAACTCGTTTAGGCTGAAGTCAATACCAAGTCCGGAAAAATCCTATTTGGATATTTTTACAGGCCACCTAACAGCGGTATTGATTACATCAAGAAGTTTCAAGAAATTCTAGAGTTAGTTCTTCAACGTAGCTATCGATACCAGGCCATCACGTACATTAAAGTCCCAGGGGGACTTTAATGTACCTGTGAATTCCTCAAATAAATCTGCAGTAGAAGATGCAACGAACATCCTGGACTTGCAGCAACTTGTAACATTTAACACCCGTCGTCGTTGTGTATCTGATATTGTAATAGGATCAACTCTTGACCTTATGTATACAAACTGCCCAGAACTGTTTTCTAATATTACTGCAGTACCAGGATTAGGAGACAGTGATCACGATGGCATTTCCTTTAATGTTGCCATCGATGCGATAAAAAGGATGTCCAACACTAAAACAGTTTACCAGTTTGCCAAAGCAAACTTCCATAGGATGTATGAACAGTTTGATGTCTTGTTTTTATGCTGACAGTATCGATTCTACATGGTCTAATTTTAATGCCCTTTTTTTCTCTATCTTTGACAGCAATGTTCCTAAATCCAAATCAGGTCGAGAAAAAGATCACCATTTATAGATAAAGATATACTCAAACTTTGTCGGAAAAAAAAGAAAATGTATAAAAAGGTTAGGAAGTACCCCAACAACATGGTAGTTTGGTCAAAATTTAAATCTGTAAGAAAGCAAACAAAATATGCAATAAACAAGTCATATTCTAAGTATGTTGTTGAAGTTGCACGTGATGCCTACAAAAATCCTAAGAGGTTCTGGGCATTTGTCATACTAAACGTCCTAAACCGATTCCAACATGTGTTTTAATTGACAACACGGTTACTTCAGATTCGTTTGTTATTGCTAACGCATTCAACTCACAATTTATTAGGAATTTTCTATTGATAGGGAGGATGATGATGAAATTGATTTTCACTCGGACAATTCACACATACACTTGGAAAAATTAACATCACCGAGGAAGAGGTGACTTCTGTAATTAATCTTTAGGAATTCACTCCCCGAATGCTCAAAATGGCCTCTCACTGGATTACTCCTTTTCTAACTGAGATGTTTAATCTTTCGGTTGCTTTGGGTGTATTTCCAACTGAATGGAAGCTTGCTAATGTAATTCCTCTGCATAAATCCGGCCCTAATATCTGTTTACACAATTACAGACCCATATCTCTCACATCCTCTGTGGGTAAATGTTTCAAACGCATCGTGGCCAATTAGATCTTGGTTTTTTCATTGACAACGGACTAA